AAACGGATGTACACGCAACAGTCAAGTTCTGGAACAGGACTAGAGTTCAAAAATGGACGAACAACCAAAACTTTCCACCGGAGCTTATAACCGGTGTGAGCAAAAAAGAACAGGAAACAAAGAAAAATGCATTGGGGTAGAAATTTTGACTGACTATATTACGAAACGAAATAAGTAAGCAGGTGTTTGAAAAATGAAGTGTGAGGGATACAAACAAGTTTAATAAACGAATTAATAAAATATTTTTAATGAAATGAGGCTGTGTTGAAAATTGATTCCCTCAGGACTGATAACACCAACACTTGTGAAAGAAAAGATGCTAGTGAGGAGTAGCGGCTGATTTGATTCAGAGAGATGAAGAACGATTGCTGGCAGTTTTTTGTGTGTGTGGTCATAGTATGGAGGGGGTGTCAGCACACGAACGTATACACGCTGCTGAAGATGGCGGATTGTGGAGAGGCATGATCGCCCAAGCCAGTCGACATGGCACATGCTGATAGTGTGTGTATGTGCTTGTGTGTGTGTGTGTGTGTGTGTGTGTATGTGCTTGTGTGTGTGTTTGTGTGTATGATGGTAACCACACCTTCCAAGACATGTCAATTGGTCTATAAAACATAGGTCTAGCCTATATGCCCGTGGACAAGGGCCCTTTACTTTGTTTAAAAATTATTACACACATTACATATTTTTTTAAAACCATTACACCCCCCCCCTCCCCAAACCACCGCCCTCCTTCCGCCTCAAGCCCAACAAAGGGACAAAATCAAATGCAATAGTGTAACGGGTAATCATCAAGTTCTCTACACCGTTTTAAACATAACCCATGTGGCTCGGACTCTCTCAAAACAAATTATGTTCGTCGCACAAACAACGAGACACAGTAGCTCAAGCGACGACCACTAGACTCACATGCACAATCAAGCCGAAAGTCGTAAAGCCACATCGAGCCCAGAGCCTTCCAAGTGTCAGAAAATAAATTTACCGCCATCACAACAGAGAGCGTCCGAACCAGTGCTGGATTTACCACTATCACAACAGAGAGCGTCCGAACTAGTGCTGGATTTACCACTATCACAACAGAGAGTGTCCCAGCCAGTGCTGGATTTACCGCCATCACAACAGAGAGTCCCAACCAGTGTTGGATTTACCGCCATCACAACAGAGAGTCCCAACCAGTGTTGGATTTAAGCAGAAGCTAACTAAGCTGCAGTTCAGGCACCCACAATCTGCAGGAGCCTCACAATCTACAGAGGCCTCACAAATTCATCTCTATAAAAAATAATCTGCGATTGTGAAAGAAAAGAAAAGATAAATTTCAAATTGTAACTTAGAGTCTTCAGGGCCGACATTCTTAACGCTCTCAGTTATGCAGGACGAGAAGATTCAGGAGACAACGTTGAAACTCTACAGACTGCAACAACTTGAGGTCAAACGATGTGTCGCCAGACATGAACACTATACAGGTAGCCAAATAAGAATAGTAAACCAACACAGAACTGGTATTATCAGTTGCCACACGCTGGCGGATATACTGAAGATGGGATCCGAGTGCTTATGGACTTGTCTGATCTGCAATAAGGATAATCTGTCGATTGACTTACTACCTAACCTACTTAAAGCCTTTTTGAAGACTATGTTACATAATCTATATGATTTTGCAAACACATTTAAAAAAAAGTTGTTTTTTTTTCCACTAAAAATTAAACTATAATATATTTTTCGTTATCCTTATATTTAAAAGGCGTATCTATTTGAAGTATCTAGGCAGATGGATAATAGCCGATTGAAGATGTATCACAGATTTAAAAAACAAAAGAATGGAATTAGGACAGGCCAAAACTGCATAAAGAACATTTTGTGCAATAAATCCATGTCACTAAATGTAAGGTAAAGAATTCTCGCATGCTATAAAGTCAGTTTTAACATACGGTTGTGAATCCAGGACAGTTATTAAAAAAGCCGAACAATTATCTTGAGGCATCCAAGATGTGGTTTTACAGAAGAATTCTTAGAGTTCTTCGGACAACTAAGAAGAGCAACCGAGATGTCTTGAAAGAGACGAGTGCTCGAAGACAACTTATCACAAACTTCAGAAAGAGACAGTCATCATTTTTTGGTCATGTTGTGAAAGAGGGAGAATGGAACATGTTGTGACAACTATAAAGATCTGTGGACAGAGAGACAGAGGACGACAACATGAGAAGATTCTTGACAGCCTTTTGTCATGGCATGGAGGGGTGTCAGCACACGAACTGATACACGCAGTTGCAGATCACAGATTGTGAAGAGGCATGATCGCCCAAGCAAGTTGTCAAGGCACTTGATGATGATGATAATGATGCATTTTAAAGTTTTATAAGATTAGCCAGTGTAATTTAAAACGGTAGGGGCCTCAGTGCTTTGTATATACCTTGGGGCCTTATCTAGTCTAAATCCAGCCCCGACCCAAACTCACACAAGAAAAGTGAAAGCATCTAGAGATTTTTAAAACCTTTGAACC